AACATTCGCTCTTTCAAGAGGTGAAGGGGGACGGGCGGCCTCCTTTGACTCAACTGGCCATGGATGCCTGCGCGCTGCTCAGGGGGCGGCACAAAAGAACTGCATGAGGGCAGGGTGGTCGCAGGTGGTGCGGATTGAACTACGCAAGTTTGGCTGCGAGAATGCATTCACACAACCATTGAACAAGTAGAAACCGCATTGAAGCATTTGACTAATAGAATGCATGTCTTCAAGCAGTTTCGGAATGCAAACTCATTGCTCCCCATCATGCCATCGTAAATACCACAGTACATCATAGTACCATTTGTTGGTACATGTCTACCCACAAATGCGGTGAACTGCCTCAGTCGCGAGTTCCATGTCGCAGATTCAAGCTTGTCAGCTGCGGATATCTGAGTTGCGAGGAAGCCTTGCCATCCTGGCGGAGCGTTGCGCAAGCCTTGAGCAACTGCACGAAGGAACAGTCGAGAGGCTGAGGTCATTTAGTTCAACAAAGGCTGCACCTGCTCCGACATACGGCACAAACAAAGACCACGATGCCGTGACAGCCGTGCACCTGAAAAAACAGTCCACGGCGAAGCTGCGCTGTTTCCAGAATCGCCACAGTGATTTGATGAAATGCTTGCAACAAATATTCACAGAAGGACAAGCAGAGAGTTGGGTTGGCTTGAAGAAGACTTCGCCCACCCATGATGCCAGCCACAGTGCCAGCCCTCGCCGTACTTCGCCAGATGCTGAAGAAGTTCTGGCAAAATCTCCGGCCGTGTCGTTGGAAAAGCATGTTGCTTGTGAGACTGGCAGTGCGAACGTTCAAGTGATGTTGTTGGACGGGCCGGCCGCAAAATTGAGGTCTAGACTGCGTGACAGGGCCAGAACTTTGCAATTTTTTTAGTGGGTTCCCAATGTTATACGTAGCCTAAGCAGAAACATGCAGCTTATGACTTGGGGTGCTTGCATACTTGAGCCAAGGCTTTCATGACATCCAAGAACATTCTCCAAGAAGGAATCTACTTGGCAACTGTGGGCCATGTCCAAGCACAGAGTCGAGAGTCATTGGGAGCACCTATCCGGCTCGAACATTTCCCGGCGCTGAACCTTTCCAAGCTTCAAGAACAAGGAGCGGTGAAGCAGCGCAAGCTGTTGACAAGAATGGAAGAAGCCGCGTGGATGAAATTCGACGCCGTGCAGCTGAAATTGAAACTAGGCGGGCATCAATGTGCCCAGAACATGATTCAATAGGCGTTTCACTCCGTTCGCGCTCTCCTATAAGCGATGTGTGGGCAACTTGTTCAGAAAACGCCACAACTCCCCCACTGAGTCCGGTAACCGGTCTGGAGGTTCAAACAATGAATTCCTTGGCTTCGTGCCTAACGATTCGGAACAGATCTTGGAGCCACTGACTGCGCCTTTGCCTGGCCCAAATATGACTTTGGCTCCGTTTGGCCCTCAGACGCCCTACGCCGTGTCTTTAAATGCTGGGATGCTTCCATCTTGGCAGCGCTCAGTGTAAGATGGGGGCTTGTGGACAGAAGGTGCACGTTTTATTCCGATGCCCGCTGCAACGTCTGTGCGAAGCATGCGTTGGCTGGCTTGTTATGCTAATGACGCAAGCGCATGAAAAATTAAGCAAATTGAAGTCCGGACCGCTCTGCGATTCTTGAAACTAGTGTACTGAAGAGCACATGGCTTGACGGACCTCAGGCCAACTGCAGCTGTCAAGACCCTAGAGTCGCTAGAGACGTCGAGCAAAAGGGTCAAGGGTACTTGAGTCACTGAAGCAAGTTGTGACGACATTTGGAGGAAGGAGATGGAAGGAGACATTTCATTGTTTTTGTGCTTTGAAAGGTAATTGGTTGGAGAATATCGAGACTGCAGACATGGTCACATGGTTGTTGTGGTTGTAGTTTTAGCTCCTGCTCATGATGCATTTTGGGGGTCCCCGATTCTCGTCACTGTCCCTAGTCTCTCTATGGCCTTTTGGTCAGATTTTGGCATAGGCACAAGATGGCATAAGGCATAAGGTTTGTGCTCCGGTCCGGGTCTGATTCATTTGCTCACTAGACTGTTGTGGCTTCTTAGCCACGCCAGGCTTGTTAGACATGGGAATGGCAACCGCTGCCCCTCCCAGGGGAGCAAGATTTATGTGAGATCAAGCTGCTGTGCTAGCTCATGCCCATGGATATCCTCAGCTACTGTATGATGGATTTGGATGAAGATTGCTCCAGTGGTGGTGAGCCTCACATTTTTGGAAGCTAGCCACAAACGTCTTGCAGGTTGGTAGTGCCAATGGTGGTCTCATATTTTTGCAGACAGGCAGGGAAGAAATGATTGGCAGGGTTTGGCTTTCAATGAGCTACTACTTACTGTGCAACATAGTTGCAGTATGAACGCAGCTACCTTGTCCCGGTGCCGGAGTTGCAAGGATTCGCAGTCTGGCATAATATAAAGTGTCTTCAAAATCAGTGATTATCACAATTGCATAAGAGTGTTTCATTCATGTGCTGTCATGCCCCAAGCCCTGGCAAACGATAGGGGACAGAAAAACGGTAGTTCCAGCACATTGAGAAGCGATAGGAAGCTCACAAATTTGACCATGCAATAGCCGCGCACAACCGTACTGCACGTACCTCAAAAAATGTCCGCAGGTTGGATGCTGCGCTTTGTGATGGTCTCTTCACAGGCTCCTGGGATTTTCTGGGGCACTTCGCAAAAGACATGCACACTTTGCATTCTAGAAGTGGGCCTGGTGCAAGTTAGCAGGCAGTCGTAAGGTAATGATGTTGTTTTCAGTCACAGGGTTGCACTGAAGTTAAGAGAGACCCACAAAAATGGTTTGTGAGATTCTGCCAGTGCTTGTTTTGCCGCCCTGCCCTGGCAGGCGGTTGCAAGCACATCCTGTCCTTGGAGCTGCAAAGTGGAGATAAAACATGTTTGCGTTAGTCATGAAGGCCTATGTAGACTTGAAAAGATTTGATTCGTGGTTTCGCATCAGTCAATGAGTTGTTGCAAACGCAAGCAATCATGTTTGTTCTACTTATGCACGGGACCAAGATGGACCAAGTGGGGAATTGTCAGTCATCACCGATCACCTTTGCGGAGGTATGTGTACTCAAGTGTGCTCCGTGTCCGGAGTACATATCACAGGAAACAGTGAAGGTCTTCGTTGATGCCAGCCTCACTTACCCCCCTGGCGTCCCCTACTACTAGTAGGTCAGTATTGTACAATGCCAACGAACCAGTGAGGTTCAGTACTCGTGCACAATAGGGCTCTTTGGATCAATCATTTGATCCAAAGAGGTAATAAGATGTAAACATGTACACGGGCTCTGTACAAACGTTCAGAGAGGAGGAGGTGGGCGAGCTGGTGAAGGTGAGCGAGAGCGCAAAGTGACAGGTGGAGAAGAAGCAGCCCGGCCCCGTGCCGGAGGAGTTGAGCGAGTAAAGCTGATGACGTCAGAGCACATGCTGGAGGGGTGCTCGAGTTGGGATCCGGAGCAAGATCCCTGCAAGTCCTTCGCCCTTGGCCAGGAAGAAGTGAACCGGATTGTGCAGGGTTAGTCAAGAGACTGGAGCTGACATGCTAAATGTATGAGGGAGTCGAAGGAACCGTGGTGTCTGATTGCCCACACAACCCGTCCAACGGGAGGATGACAGATAGAATCAGGTCCCGCAGTAGAGGAATGTTCAACAAGCGCAGGATGAGCCAATCCAAGATCAGGAATCCAAGTTTTATTCGTAGATAGCTAGATATGAAGTCCAAAAAAGAAGGCGCAGAAGGGGGAAAGAGCGCCGTTTCCAGCAACATGTTGAGCAGAGGCGGACGAGGCAAAGCAATGCGCAAAGAATATACAAGGTGTGACAGACGAGTGGATGAAGGAAGAAGAAGAGGAAGGGAGGACAGGGAGGACAGGGAGGACAGGGAGGAGGGAAGCACATTGCACAGCCTGTGAAGTTCTGAGAATTGAAGTGAAATTGAAGTCAATGGTCTTGCACCAAAGCGCGTCCTTTTCCTCGGAGGAGATGGCGTGAGGAGCACTGTTGGCATCCAGTAAACCGAGTAGGCTAGGTAGGGCATACAATGAGTTGACCTAATGGAAGCGCTATGTAGGCGACCAGGGCACAAACTTGGCGGTGGATGTGAAGGTGATGTTGGGGGTGAAGATGAGGAAGCGTATTGAACAGGACAAGGTGCAGGTTCTGAACGGCCAGGTAGACATTGTGACATCGAAGGTGTCATGTAAAAGGGCAAGTGACGGAAACAAACGTATACCGTATATAGAGGAACCACAGAACGTGGTGGGCCGGTTGGGGAGAAATCCATGGGATTACAGGAAGGAAGGTGATGCATTGGGCCTTCAGGAAGAGCACAAAAAGCAGCATCAATGTCACGAGATTTGGTCAATCAGTGTGCGAAGAATAAACTCATGGAGAGCCGAAGAACCAATCTCATCTTGAGGATAGGGCAAGTCACCAATGAGACTGAGCGTCGTATGAGTCTAGACTTGTGCAGCGACGTAGGCGTAGCATCCTTCCGTTTTTTTCCAAATCTTGCAACTCATACAGTGTTTGGGGTGTGCAGCTTCAAGGAGTGGCATTCCGTTGGCGTTTGATGGCCGGGGCAATATCATTGCAAGACGTGTGGTATGTTGATTGTGGGCCAGTGAACAAGAGGATGCGACACCGAATATTTTTCCCCCACCAAGGAGCCGCAGGAGCCCCTCAATGAATCAAACAACAACAACAACAACAACGGTGTTGCTTACACTGTGGGACTTTGGCTCAAGGCCTTCCCGATGGCCTGTTCGTTCTGGCTTTGCTGCTGGTGTTGCTCCTCGTTAAATATTTGGAGTTGATGACCTTGTTGCATATTTTGCTCTAAGTCACCGACCTAGTTTGTGATGGCTACTTCTACGATGGCACATGTAACAAAACTCCTGGCTATGAGAGCCTGCCTGACTTGACCAGCATTGCTGGCAGGAGAAGTTGTGTGGTTGTGCGAGATGGCCAAACCAGAAGCTTGTGCTCATGAGGAGAGGGTGTTACGTTGCCAATTCTGGCGTGATACGCACAGGAAAGTCAAACAAAACGGAACATAACTCAGTGGCTTTTCTGATAGCCCTGGTAAGCCATGCTTCTCGACAGGAGCAGGCGGATGCGCCTGCGTACAAACCAAGTCCATTCATGAAAGCGGCAGTCGCTCGGTTTGATTCGGTTTGTCGATTTGTGTTTTTGACACTGTTTCAGTTTCCCATGTTAGCTTTGCGCGGCCGACTGCGGGTTGCATGCTGAGGCGCAGATTATTGAGGCAAGGGTTTGCTGGCTGCGCAGCTTGGGGAAACAAACAAATATGGAAGCACAGTATATATATATATATAATTCATCCCGCTTTAGACCTTTGCACATTTCTTCATCATTCTTCTTGTAAGTCACAAAACTTTTGGGCGTACACCGTGCATGTTACACCGCTACGTGCAGATTGATCTTTCATTTACATTTTGTTCACTACGCAAGGCCTCTGAAGGCCATGTGCCTGACGATTTGTTGCTTTGGCTGCAATCGATAAAGTTGGCCAAAACCTCCACTCGACAGCCTTGTCGTGAAACAATCAGGCACTGGGATCCGCTCACTATGAGCTATGGATGCAAACTCAGACCTGGCGCAATTGCACTTGCAGAATGACCTATGTGCAAATCAAGCGCTTCCATAGCACTGGCGAGGTGGTGGCTCACACCTTGCGGGAGATGCTATTGAATTGCCGACTGAACTGATGATGATCCTGGGATTCAGTTTTAACGTTTGGTGTTAGATCTGCAGCTAAGCCAAGCCAGCAGAAAGGGAGAAAACAACGAAGGAATCTCGTCGGACCTGGCTTGGCAGCTGTGCGGCATACAAAACCATCTCCAGCGGTGCGCATCTCAGTGATTGCAGATTGACGAGCAACTCGGTTTTGCACTGTTGACCACTAGGTACCTCTTGCCCCTTCGCAGGAGCGCGCCAGGACAGATTCTGAGGGGTGAAGTTCAAGCAAACTGATTGGGGGGGACTCGGGGGTTGAGCGACTGATTGTGTCGGGTGTAGGAAGCGACTTCAGCTGCGGAAGGCGAGGTGGCGGTGAGCTTTGGTTCATTTGTGTTCCAGCCAGTGCCTTTTGAGGAAGCTGCAGCCAGGGAGGCTGCAGAGAAAGCCGCCAGAGTCTCACGGAATTCGAAGACATGATCCAAGAATCTCCATATTTTATGCTAAGGCTCAACCAGAGAAGGAGGACCGGTTTATATAATGAAGTGCAGCGGTCAAAACAAAGGATCTCCAGTTTTTGCTACCTTGCATTGCCTGTGCGAACAAGTTTGTCCCGGAAGGTGGAGGAGCCTTTGGATGAGTCATGGATCGACCAATTGGAACAGACCCCTGTCGCAAGCTGTCATGATGTTTGCCACCAAGTGGCCGCCTTGATTTCGTTGTTTGACACGCATTCCCAATCATGCGTTTATACATTGTTCATACAGTATCGGTACAAGATTGTACAAGTTACAAGTACTCGTATATATACTAATATTTACACATACATATACATGTTATACATATACAGTTTGGGTTTGTCGTATTACCTGTAACAGTCAGCAAACAGTTGTCACAATTTTTGCACAATTTTGTAGCCTCGGCCGTCATCCAACGCCACACGGGAACCCTTTGTCCCTTCGATTCATTCCTTACACCATCCTCCACCCTCACTTGCTGTGGCGAAATGTGACGGCAAACTCCAAAATGAAGCCTGTGCGTGCAACACTTGTGTGCAAGACTGGGGGAGAAAGAAGGTGGACGTGACGTAGCCTCGATTTAAGACTTGTGTATAGCTCGTTCCATTTGGGAAGTTGTAGGTTCATTATAATTGTCATTGAGAGAAGGCTAGAGATCGCTCAATGCCACGACTGCCCCCATAGCTTCTGGTGGCTCACACGCATTTGGGTGCACTTGACACTGCCCTGCCCGCTGTGCGCTCTTCAAGTTGCAGCTGGTTGTGTTAGAAATCCTGTGTTGAGGTTCATCGGTTTTGGATAGTTTTGGCATGTTGTGAACTCTGGGTCTTGGAATGGGTAGGCTGGTGACCAATCAGTTTCTCAGGAAAGATGCAAAGAAGAAGGTTGCCCGGCAAGGGTATTTTACTTGCCACTCAAAGTTATTGAGACGGCTTGGCAGGCAAACAGAGAGAAAGCCGTCCAGATCCGTAAAGAGAGGAAAAAGGCGTGCTCGAAGAGCTCGAGCAGCTAGCCTTTCATCCGGTTTGTCCAATAGGCCCGCAAAGCAGATGCAGCAGCGAAGCAGGCGAATCATCCAAATGCGAAGTGATTCGTTCAAAAATGAACCGACATCTATTTTTCGACTTTCACGCTCCGCAGGAAGCCCTAGGGCTTACTGAGCCTCAGGAAGCTGAAGAGGAGGTGCAATGCGGAACTCACCCCCTTTCAGCGCATCAAACAGAAAGGAAACGCAAATAAATGAATTGAATCAAATCAATTTTTTTGAACACCTGGTTTCTGAACAGGACGAACTTGCTTCTGAAGCGCCGCCAGAACCAGAGGCTGTCAGCGCTCAGGGAACAGTCTGGACACAGTGGCCTTAAATGGTTATCACTTGGTTTCAGTGGGGCTTTATCTGGCACACCTGTTGGGCAAAACCAGGACCCCCGCCGATAAAGTCAACCGAACTATGTAAAACCGTAGCCTCTTCTCAGAGATTCTGTGCTGGGAACTGTTGATATTAAGATATGATGTTTAAAAGAAACCGACCAAGGAAACATGTAATGAGTGGTCCCGTTTTAGGAAAGCATGGCTGATTCTTTGCAAAACGATAAAGAGTTAAAACAACGATAACACACACATATATAATACATGCAATAGAGTACATGAGAATAGAAGCATTGGAATTTCGTTCTTGCAGCAAACAGCTTTCAAATCCAATTATTGATTTCAGGTGCAAGTTTTTAACAAGAGTGCATTTTCATGTCAAGGTTTCCGTGCAATACAAGCATTCAGGAGTAGAGCTGGGCGTAGCTTCAAAAGGAACATGTCGTGAGCATGGTGAGGCAAGTTCAATTTAGTTTGATTCAGGTGTCCTTTAGGCCACCAAAATGGGTGAATACTTGGTTCCAAAGCGATAGCAAACGATAACAGACACGATAACACAAATACACGAAAACGTCCTCGGGAAGACCAGGTCCCACATGTACGCGCCATGACTGCTCACATAATAGTGCACGCACACACAACAGAGACCGACTTGTTTGCAGTTGAGGCAGGGACGTGTCTGGTTGGCTGGGAAACGTACCCAAGACCAGCTTGGTCCTCAAAGCATTGAGGGTGCACTCTGCCACCAGATTACTGCAATGGACCAAAAGCCGCACCAATGAATACTCTCGCTCAGTTTGCGCTGCCATAGAACCGCTCACGCTGTTCACCGGTGGCGCTGTCTGAGAGCGGATTCATAGGCCTACATCCCATGTGATATATAAAAAAGACCCTTATACATTTTGTACAACCACTTATAGCTTTATCGCTCTTTAAGCTTCAGCTCACCAAAGGTGTTATAAAGCTTTATCGCTGTAGGCGTCTGTTGGCTCCGGGAGGGAGGGCGGGAGTCGCCTTGTTCAACGCAAGGCGGCTTTCGTTCTAGGGGGGTAGATCCGATAGATCAGTTCATGAGCCATGGATGGAGATGCGGTCATTGAAGTTGACCCTGGAGGAGCATTGGGCATTGAGGGGTGCTCGCCAAGTTGTGCTGGAGACACTGTTGAATCAGGTGTGCCCTCTTTTCTTCCGAGCTCCCCTGGAACTTCCTTTGAACCCTGGATTGGTCCAATTTCGTGTCCGCTGATAGGTCAGCAGTTTGACGCTGTCGTGAATTCGGCTTCAGTGGACACAAAGCCAACGTCGTTTGAAACGAAGCAGCCGTGGGAACGGGGTCTCACGAAGTTTCTGTTTGGCAAGAATTCGACTCTACCATCAATGCCAGAGGTCCAGTTTCATCCGCAGCCAGTCCATGACCTGTCTGGGCAGGACACGGCATCCCTCAAATGCGTGAAGAAACTCGCTGATGTCCAATTCATTGAAGCGTCTCGCAGTGAACAATTTTTCTGATCTGATCTCGATGAATCCTGCGGCGTTTGACACTGGTCGTGCTGTGCAGGCAGAGTCAACTTTTCTTGGCTTCGAGAGCAGTTTACAGGAAAATCTAGGCATTATTTTCGACATGAAGTCCGCAGCAACTTGAACAAGAGAGCAAACCTTCTTCCTGTGTGTAAAATCTGTGCTGGAGGTTGCGTATTATTTCCTTCAGCTGAAGAGATGAGGGAACTCCACACCAAGAGCCTCGTCGCTTCGTGGGGCGTTGAGATTTTTGTCATTACACCCTCGGTCTTGACGGTGCGCTGAGCGCCTGCGACAGTGGGCGGGTGAAAGGTGCATCGGAGGTCATGCTAGCTGGAAAACGCTCTTGGAGCCCGGCCGGCCCGCTGACAGGTTAGCGGCAGGGACTGTTCTGGCCATGGTTTACGGACGGTGCAGAGCCTCGATCTCAATGCAATTGAGGACGTCATTGGACTTCACAGATGACAGAGGGTACCTCGAACTGAGGACTTCCACTCACAAGGCAGCAAAGAAAGCGAACCTAAAGACCAAACCATTGGATCCTTCCCATAGTGATCCCAGCCATTGGAGTCACTGGAGTTTGCTGGGTTCGAACTTTCATGGAGGCGAGGGCAGCGGCAGGACTGAGATCTCATGCGCCCAGGACACCATTGACTCCAGCCTCTACCTGAATTTCCTCGCGACAATCAGGACAATGCTTTGTTCGTCAGTGCTCTCAACCAAGGCAGCATTTGTGAACTACTACATGATCCCTCACATCGCGCACTGCTCAGCCTATCTTGTCAGATTGGCTCTTTCAGCGCAACCAGACTCGAGCTGTTCAAACACCTTCAGTGTGCACATGGGCATCTATGGCTCCTTTCCGCTGACATGGCCACCATGCTCAGTCATAGCTGGATTGGCCTATGCCTTAGCGACCCTGCGCCTGCTGCTCGACGAGGTCATCAATGTGTTTTTTGGCCGCGCTTGAGCATGATCTACTATCACTATATGCCAGTGCCCAACCACACCAGCTCAGCTGCCTCTTCGGGTACATGCTCTACTACCTCGATGCTTTCCTGGTCTCCTGCGCCTCTTTGTGCGCCATGACTGGCAAGGACTCCTTCTATCGGAATTCTGTGACCTCCTCTCATTTGTGCAGAGCACATTGCACCAACCTCCATGTTGACACACTACACTCAGAGGCATGGCCTACCAGGTCTCACACAGGAGACCGCTCTGGTACATCACACCACTCTTCCCTCATGTGTTCACGGATGCCACTGTGATCTCCCTTCTGAGGTCGAAGATGGGCCCGCGCCCAACATTGCAACTTGAGAGATTGTTGCAGATGCTGACGGCGTAGATGCCTCATTTTTGGAACTGGCCTAAGAGGCCTCATTCTCAGCTTCCGGAATCCACTGAGAAGAAGTGGGTTGCGCAACGAGAAGACTCCCTCCCGGCGTCCGACAAACAAAGCATCCATCTATCCATCCATCCATCCACCCATCCATCCATCCATCCATCCACAGCATACGGACAGACAGAGAAACAGAGTACCCCAAGTAGTGAGGGTCTGGAATGGTGGGTGCTTATGTACCCAGTGCCCAAAGGCCTAGAATCATCAGCCTACCATTGTAGACCCCAAAATCTGGTAGCGTTGTGGGCCTTTTGAAGTTTCGCGTTGTCACTTTTCCTATGCTCTAAACAAGGACAGGGGCTGGGGGTCTGGGATTTCAACTCAAGTGCGCACAAGAGGGCAGAAGGATATCAGTCTAGACCCCGGTTTTGTAGTACCTAGGGCCACTCTTACAGCAGTTGTGGGGATGAAGCAGGCATATTTGTTGACCATTTGTCGTTATTTTATGTTTAATTTTTGAACTAAGTGCGGTACAAATCATAAACAACATGAATCAATATCGGAATATCGAACCCGTTTTGTCCAAGATAGGCAACTTTTCGTTTAGTTTTCAACTCAAGCCACTCGTCTCACTCCACAAATGCTTCACGTCATTTCCCAAAAATCACTTTGCTGACCTTGTTCGTTGAAATGTTTTGTTTTTTTCCTTCCCGGGTGGCAGGTGTTTTTCTGCAGTCGTGCGGGTGCGTGCGAGCGTTCGTTCAGTCTTTCTCCTGGCCGCATTTTGTGCGCAGGACCGCAGGACAGATCAAAATGCATGACGTCACACTGCGATAAATGCAAATAATGGGTGCACAGACAATGGGAACAGATTAATTAATACGGCGGGTTTGGCGCAAATGCGCAGGTGCTGCAAGAGCCGGAAGATGAGGCCCGGGTTTTTTCCGTGGAATTTTGCATGTTGTTTTAGTGTTGTTCCCAAGGATGACGATGATGACATGCAGCCTGTGGAGCAGTCCAAGCAGCGCAGAAAACGCCAAGCAAGACAGGCTCTTGGGTGCGGACTGACATCGTGCATGCCCAAACGAACAACGAACTCCTTTCGACATGAATCAAGCACGATGACAAAGACTGTTTGGAACTGTATAATGTAGATTGGCGCGATGCCATGCTGCAGCTTCCTTCGTTTTGATCGCCAAGAAAGACTGATGGCCCCTTCACTCACAGTTGGCGCTTAGACCCTTCCTTTTGAAGTGTGTGCACGACATTGCCCTGCTTGAGTCCACACTAAGTGCTGCTAGCTACATGCAGCTGCAAGGTTTTCCTGCTTGTAGGTTGCTCCCGTCAGATCTACTGCCCGCGCAATCGGTACGGCAAACGCCCAGTATATTGAATCTATATTACCACGTTGGGATGAAAGGCCTGACGAGTCTGCGTACAAAAAGAAAACTGTTTGCTAATTTGCAGCGCGTGCCCTTTTGTCTTTGGGGCATGACCCCAGACCTCCTGTGACACTAGACTCCCCAGAGTCACCTCTTTTAAATCCTTGACAGAGAAGGTAAGACAAAGGGAGGACTTGGATCTGCCCCCCCCAAACCCTCCCCCCTGATTCCTTGGTTCAGGTTTCCTTAATCTAGGATAATTTTGGATGCAGGGCAACCCAATGTCCCTTGGGCTAGCCCCTTCTTCAACCATGCAGTCATATACCAAAAGTATTGGACAATACAGTGATGTACCCGTGCTTTGTCCGTCAACCACGCTGAAGAGCGCAACGCATTTGATTTTGCAAAGGAACGCTCCATAAGAAGAGTTCACTTGATGTGTCTATCAACAACACTGATGAATGTGAAACACTTGAATCTCCACCTTTGTGGTGAAATAAGCTCTGTCAAGCGGATGAAGCGGCCAACTTGGTCAAGAAGGCATTGACATCTTCTGTCGTTGGCCTCACTGGACATACCGTTGAAACAAGTCTATAGTTAGTAGATGTTAGTACTATACTTGAGGCCAAGAGGGACTGACAAAGTAAGTCTAAGTACATCGAACAGATCGAGTATGATGGTCATCACGCCAAGAAAACCACTTTAGATGTATGAGTAGGCACACTGTGTTTCAGTTTATTTACTTTTGCGGAACAGTTGCAGGGCTACAGGCTACAGTTTCTCTTCCTTACATGTAAAACATGTATTCCGCATTTGGTTTCAAAGGGTCGAAAGTCACATGATGCTTTGTTCCAGGCGCGGCAGCGTGAGGAAGCAGAATTGGCAAAGAGAGAGGAGGACGTCCCTTCTCCATGCAGTCAATGGGTTTGTTTTTACTTGCCGCCGAAAGGAACGCAAGCGAGAAGAGGAGAAGGAGGCTGAAAGGAAACCGCAAGAGAAGCAACAAGACACGGAGAAAGCAATGGCACAGGAGCAACAGGATCATCGTATTGTTGGATAGTGTGTTATCACCGGTTGCGTAAATGCACTTTCCAGGAGTTGAAGGAAGCCGAACAAAAGCGACAAGAGGATGAGAGGAGACAGAAACCTGGAGCTCACAATCAGGAGGAAGACGTTCGAAGGATGGACGACGGCGAAGCTGATGACAAGATGCAAGAAGGGCAGAAGACTGGAGAAGAGGATGAAGACATGGAAGAGGATTCGAAAGAGGTTCTGAAGGAGGAAGACAATAGCGAAGAGGAATCGAAAAACTCGAAGGAGGTGAAGGGAAGACAGGAGGTGCTCCACCGAAATGGTTGCGGCTCATGTGGCTCTTTTGCTCAAAGTGTTTCCATCCCCGCGGGTGTTGTGGTGTGGACAACCATGCAGACCGAAGTTAACAGGGCAATCCACACAACTTGCTATCTCAGCAGTTCAGCCAGTTGGAGAAAAGCATTTTATGCGAACTCCACACAGACAAACGTGACTTTCAACCGGTTGGACAAGTTTGACCGCTGCCAAGTGTTTATGGGACGGCTTGACAATATCATCTTTCAAGCCTTTTGCCATTAGCCCTAGGATGATCGAGGAGTACCTTGTCCCATTCAGGTAGTCCCAGGCCCCTTCTGAACACACTAGAAGGTGAGGCGAACCCTGTGGTTTTGAACCAGGAAATCCAATGCGTATTCTTTACAGTACATAAACATACATTACTTTACACGACCCTGGTCTTTTCACTAGTGCGAGGATGCGACGAATGTATTTTGGGCGGTTATGCACAACCTATGCGCAACGATTTTGTTCAAAATAGAACCTCCGCAGCCAATTTGTCCGAGTGCTGCTGATGGTACTGCGCCACTACTGTCCCTAAAAACTGTTGCCAACTAAAAGGTAAACACAATGCTTGCTAGTGCTGGTTCATTCCAGCAATTGAAGGATGCGTTTGCAAGCGCAACTAGGCTTTTCCCAATAATGTGCTACAATGTGCAGGACGACTCTGGTTTGTAGAGGTGGGTACATATATATATATATACACTGTATATTGTTGGCTTCGTAGGGTGTGCAGGCTCGGCCAGAGGGTGAGCGCCGCCGAAGAGGGGCGACCTGACTGCAAAGAGACACCAGCACATTGTTGCTGAACGCTCGTTTTTCTGGAATGGGCCTGTCAAGGAACTTAAGACTTCAAGTTATTGCCCGTACAACGGACCACAATTCGTAGTGTTTTGGACTTTGTTGGGTTGAACTGGCGCAAGCGGCCCGTGTACTTTGAAGCTTGCTGGAGGCGCAGCACGGTCATACAGCACAAAGAGCTCATTCCATTCCCCTGGTCCAGCTGCAAGGAGAAAGAACACTTGTCACCGCCCGTCACACGAATGGTGAGACATCAAGATCAACCACTACATGCCGACAATGGAGCACTATTGATGACCACCAAGCACCACTGTAAAATGGCTCCATCACAGCGCGTAGATGAACAGAAGGGCTGTGAGGAACACATGGACCAAGACGGCTCTCAAGAAACCAAAGACCACAGCGCAATGCAACTTGGATACCCCACTGATTTAGTAGTTTAGCTCGGGTTGCAAAAGCGACTGCAAATGATGACCCATCGGTGGGAAGTATTCCATCATCGCAGATCATGACAACTTGCCAGAGAGGCCTAGATCCAAGCGGGCTATTCACCACTCAGGCAGACATGTTTCGGAAGTATTCTCTAGGAAAATGTGGATTCATTCATTTGGATCTGGACAGCCAAGCTCAGCCTTGTCCGTCCTGCCTCGAATAGTCCTCTTGACAGGCTTAGTTTTTGCATGTTAGTTTTTGCAGTCTTGAATGCATGAACGTGGTATAAATGGTGTGCTTCTTTGCCGAACATCAGTGAGACGCTCAGCTGAGCCGGGCTCCAAAGGCTTCACTTTCCTCAGAGCGTTGGCAGCGCCAGCCAAATCTCCAAGCAATAGCCGACATCGCAGCTTTGGGAGAAAGCCGTTCCGAACAGTGTTGGGGGTCGTGTTTCTCCCATATTTTGGAACCCAAACAATTTTTTACAAACAAGCTGATGGCCTAACCATGCCGCATAAAAGAAGTGCCTGTGCAATCTTGTGCGGAGATGGCAAGCATGTTTCGGATTGGAATGCATGAAGCATCCTCTGAAAATTGCCATTGCAATCCATTGCATTATTTGCACCATTCCTACCTGCTCCAAAAACGTCCATGCCTGATCGATTCCCCACCAACGTGCCACTCTGTTAATGGTCAAGGCGCTAGCCGACCATGGTGTGCACCTCCGCACGACACAGTAGACCCTCGGGGTTGTGTATTTGTATGTGAGGTGGCTCCTAATATCAGTTGTGTGTGTGTTATAGCAATTTCTATACAAGCTGCTCGCCTAACCATGCGGCATTAAAAAGTGACCGAGGGCCTACAGCAATTGCAGAGCCGCGCGTTCTATTCTATTCCACAGCTTGTGCAGATGATGCGAAGTGCGGTGTTTGGCTCACTGCCATCTGTTTTGTGGTTGTTTTCTGCAGCAGGCCAGGGTGATACGTGGAATGGAAAGACCAGCAGTTAGCTGCAGCCCTTTCACCTTTCACTTGTAAATGGACGAGGGGGGTGCTTCAAAGCCAAGGCCTGCGGACATCACCCAAAACGAACAAAGAAGTTCGCAAAGAAAGGGTAGTTAAAATATGTGTATACACACATGCGCGGGTACTGAGACAAACTTTTGGGACATGGAGATCTTGGGCCCTAGGCATCACATAGTGGGCTTAGGAGGTCTAGGATCTCTTAGTTCAGACCTCTTCCACACAACGTCTTAACAAAAACCAACGCCGTTTATCGTTTATTGTGAATCGCTCCGCTGAGCTGACGTGCCTGGATTGAATCCCAACGCGTCATGTTGAAATACTAAACTGTTGGACCGCAGGAAAGCATCCCTTGCCCCAAGACTCCTAAGTACGTGGAGTCAAATACATGGCGCACCTACATCCCCGGTCTCAACCTTTCTAAGTTGCCTCCTTCAGCCTTTGTAGAGAGCTTGTTGATACAGCAGTCGGCAGTAGTCATGTCATGGGCATAGCGCTCGCTTGTACACGAGGAAGGGCCTCCATTGTACACCTGGACAACGGCTCGCGTGAACACGTGCATGTTGGAAGACTAGGAAGCCTTCACCATAATCGCTGCGCCCGCGCACGCTCCCAAGGATGCTGTGTTTGCCATGAAGACTGGACCAAATGCAGATCTTCAAGGTGTGAGGTCGTTCAAGGATTCAGGCTCCTCCACAGGCAATCTGAGAAACGAAAGCACGCGAAGAGATTTCTGCGCCTTGGCGGTTTCTTTGATGAACAGGTTTGAACGGACTGCCGGGCATTATGTTGAAACACTGGCCCTGAAGACCGGAACCAAGGCACAGATCTTCAAGGTGTCAGGTTCTCCGAGACTTCAGGTCGGGCTTCGATGCTTCGACAGGCAAATGGAGACATGAACCAACCCTGGTGTGGCTTTCTGCACCCGAGGGCAAAATTTTAGCAAGCCTTTTGTGAACCACCAGGGCAAAAAGATCAAAAAGTCGGGGAGGAAAAAGCAAGTCCGACCAACCCGGGGCTGAAACTTAGAGAAGGAAGGAACCATCCCAACGTAGCGCAACTTTGTGTGCCACCCCATGTGAAAATTTAAAGGAGGGAAGGGCCGTTCCAACGTAGCATACTGTGACCAATCCGAAGGTAAAACTAAGGAGGAGGAAGGAGCAACCCGACCGTAACATAGCCCCACACGGCAGTATTGAAACCCAATACAAAAGTTGGCAACTGCCAGAGGTCTAGATGACGCGCTGCGTTGGAATTGCTATTTCCAGTCACGTACACCTTCCATGCTGCAGATATTGGAAAACAATGATGGCAGCACGGCCAGGGGTGAATCCTTTTTTTGTGGTGAATAAGCTTCACTGTAGATCACAGAGTCTAGAATAGCATTAATAGCATCACTGACTGTGCATGAGACCACTGTGCAACCCTCTTTGGATTATGGAAAAAGTTATCAGGGTAGCAGAGCAGGGATAAGGGCAACCCCCTTTGAGCTCCAGAAAGAAAAGCCCTAGGTCACTGGGATCCCGGGTGCGGTTTCGAGCCATAGATTTGGGGCCTTTGGAGCCCAAATAGCTGAACTGGTGATAAATTGTTGTGAGCTGCACTCTGTACCCCATACATTGTGTCAGAAAGACATTAGTGTGCAGTGGAGATGGAGGAGATCAGCAAAGTCCTAACAGCTATAGCGCAGAGTACGCAAGCAACAGCATCAGCGGCTGAGGCAGTGAAGAAAGCAGTCGAAGACAAGAAGTCATCAACAACTGATTGGTCAAAGTTGATGACAAAACCCTCTCTCTTTGACTGCAAGTCGCAAGAGGAAGAGATCAAAGCGTTCAGAGAGTGGTCATGGGTATTTTAGAAGTATCTATGCTCAGTTGATGAGGCTTACACGAAGGACTTTCAAAGATATTCGTGACAAGCCCAATGAGAAATTTGACATGGACTTGGCAGCTGGAGATGTTTGATGAGGGGAAGAGCACCACAATCTGTGGAGGACCCTAATGGATTTTCGATGAACAGTGCACTGCTACCCCAACTCCTGAAGCTTGAAGACGTATTTGATGAGACGATGAAGGCATGGACTGCAATTCAAGAAGAGTTGAAATCTGCTATTCTTTTGAGATGGCAGCTCAAATCATACTTGAGTTTGACCATTGGCGACAATCTTTAATACTCAAGACCCAACTTTGAGGGAACAAGTGTTGCAGTGGGATTGTTCTCAGCAGAAGTGAGCTACTTCAATGGTTGCAAGTAGCAGTACAGATTACCAATGACCCGTGCCCTGGCCCATGGATGTTGATCGAGTTCAAGATGCCAAAGGAAAGGATAAGAAAGGGAAGACTGACAATCAAAAGGGCACGGGTAAGGATGCCAAAGGCAAAGGAAAGAAAGGAAAAGGAGATCAGAAAGGAAAGGAAGGTGGTCGCAAGGGCAAAGGTAAAGGCAAAGACCAGAAAGGCAAAGGCGCGGCAACGTGTTACACTTGTGGAAAGCCAGGGCGTCTTGCCCGAGACTGTTAGAGAATCAATATTCGACAGGTTGCAAGTGATCCAGCCCATTCACCTTCAGGAGGAGCATCAGTGACTACTCACACAGTTGGTCAAGAACAAGCCAATGTTAGCCAGCAGAGAAGCTCAGCAGGGACCAAACCAGTGGTAAGAAGGATTGAGAGCAGTGAGCCAATAATCTCTGACTTGCGAGAAAGGCATGACGAGTCAGAAGGTCATGGAATTCAAGTGGTTCACCTCTACACTGGAGATGGTGATGATGATGACGATGATGATGATGATGAGCCAGAGATGGAAGATTGCAGGGTGATCGACATCTCATATGATGAACCCAAGGTGAGGAGACTTGGGGAAGAGGGTGAGGGTGTGATTATTGACAGTGGAGCTGATTCGATGTAGTTTAGTTTGTTTGGACATGGCAGATTATGGAGAAGCGCGAAAAGTGTAGAAATCTCTTTGCATGATGTTTTTTGGACACCAAGAGAATGTCAGCTTCAGTTCAAAAGTGAATTAGCCCATACTTTGTTATGGAATGCTGATGGAGCATGGTTGGGGAATCAATGGTCGAGAGCAAATGTTCGAGAATGGTGACTTGAAGGTGCCACTCAACTTGCGAAATCGCTCTTTGACAGTAAAAGGCCGCATAAGAGTCATTCGAGATGAGGATGAAAGCCGCTTGGAGGCAGCAGGATGGAAGTTCAATGAGCATGGCCTACTTGTTGGAAGCTGATTGATTTCAAGATTTGTTGATCCCACACTCATTCCAGAAGTGGAAGTTTCACCAGAGTTGACGAGAACCACTTTGGTGAAAAGAGGAGGTAGATGGCTAAGGCCTGAATATTGTGAAAGCATGATGAAAAAGGAGGAACTTGATGAGGATAAGAGAGAAGAAGACTTAGACAAGAGTTGCAATTAAGCCCAATGGACGTAGACAAAGCCTTGGTGAATGGAGTAGAGTTGATTCAAGATTCTACTTCAGCAACTCGGAGGGCAGCGCATTCATTCTCGGTATATCA